TGGCCAGTTCTGCTCCGAGACGAGCCGTCTGAGCTTCCAAACATCGAACAGCTTCAAGGGCCCATCGAGCCGTCGTGAGGCCTTTCTTCGGAAAGGAGTGGCGGAGGGCTTCAGCTGCTCGTGAGAAAGCCAAGGACCTGAGACATCTTCTCCCTCCACCCGGTCAACCCGAGGTCAAGAAACATCAAACAACGCCCCACGTTGCATCTGGTGTCAATCTCTCTGTAGTCTGTTGCTCTGCTCACTGACAATCAAACATACTGTCGGAACAAATAAATGGAGGGGTGCTTGTGACACCAACATTGCTCCTTAGAGACATGTTCTAAGAAGATGTTGCTTGTGGATTTGATCGCAACATGACATGTTCTTTCTCTAGTGACAAGCCGCGAGCCTTCTTACAAGAATATTGTCTTTCCACCCTGACAAAAAGGGGCTGGGATGTCATATCATTGCAAATTGTAGCACTTGGACTCCCCTATGTTCACTAATGTTGCATCCTGAAATGCAAAGCTGTACGGGACAACAAGAATGGCTGCTGTGCAAATTTTTTTATAGACCCATAGAGTTGTTTTGGGGTCGTAAAGGCGCGTGCCGTTTATTCACAAAACTGTTCCTTTTTATATATAGTTTGTCCTTCTTCCCTTCCTTGGTGTAACTAACATGGACTCTGAGATTGGCACCCTCAAACACTGTGTTCCTCTACAAACCCGTGGTTTTCAGGTTCCATGTTAGGTTTCAGCGTGGCAACCACCAACACAACAGGAATTTGACGTACAAAGTATAGATTTATAAATCATGATCCAAATCCAAACGTGGACAAGTTTTTCCACCTGAGTCGACACTTGCATAATGCTGCCCATTTACATACTCTTGCGGCATGTCTGGTAGGCTTCACAAATGCCGCCTTTGTCGCTTCGGAGGCATCGGGCGGCTTTGGCTGCGTGGCCAATGGAGGAGCACTCGGCCTCAGTCCACGGTTCGAAGAGAATGTCCCGATGGGACATGGGAGTTTAGGTATCCCTTATCCACCCACAAGCAATGTGGCGAACATCTCCGGATTCCAAGAGATCACATATGGGTTTGTCCCATGCACTCCACCATTGAAGCTAAACTTCACATCTTTACTGTATTCTTTAATAATTTTTCCAACATCTTGCTTAGAAACATTTCGGCATCCAAGACTGTACAACATCGAGCCGCTTGTTCCCATGCATGTGAATGATAGCAACGTTTCACTTTGGATGCCATTATGCCATTGCAGGGTAGTTTCAAACAAAATGCTGCAAAATAAAAAAAGCCTTTTTCAGGGTGGGGAAATGCAGTGTTTTCCAAGGTGCAAATACAACTTGCATCAACTTGCCATGTTCACAGTGCCTGTGATCCTTGGAAGATCCAACGATAACGCCAACCCAAACTATCTGCCATGAACACCCTTCCTTCCTTCTTTCCTTTTCAGCCTAGCCGCCCTCTTCTCGTGCAGCCTCTGGTGTGAAGCCTCCCGACATGGCAGATCCCTGCAGGCAGCCACTTCAGAGGCCAGCTGCTTCTCCTGGCTTGAACCTCAGACGCAGGGCACATCGGCCGAGTGCATCAGGCTGAGGACACAAACCAATTGCCTCGTAAGAGCCATCTACCAAACCGGCAGCTTCTGGCACTGAAACCATCTGAAACCCACACAAAAGGGTGGATCTGGGAACTGCTCTCAAGGACTCTTTTTTCCAACAAGCTGCATGTGTCCTGAACCTCCTTCCACTGCTGGTAGGTGGTGTTGAGCTGCTTCCCAGCATCCAAACTGGACTTCAGCTGGGCATCACACAGCGCGAAGCTCTCAAAATGTTGGTGCACAAGATCCCTCAGCCCTGGGTCCTGCGGCCACCAATAAAGACATATAAAGACCGTGCGAGATCCGATTTTGTGGTTAAACATGTTCAAAATTTTTCAAAAGCTTGAAGTTGCAGATCGATATATGGAAATATACGATATATATATAGTTTGGACAACCGATTGGTTGTGGATAAGTCGAAACCAGGAAGCCAACAAGAACGGCCGTTCGATGTGATCACGTGCTGTCCGAACCACCTGGATGTTCATCCACATCCCCATGCCCTCGGCTTCCACTCATACCACAACCTGGGTGGCCAAAGAAACACTGCAGGCCAAAATCAGGATTAAGGCATCATGGCTGAAACTATCAAAAACAACAGTAGATTACACCAAATGAAAGCTCAGTCCTCTTCGATTCTGTAAAAAGGTCCCTCTTTCGCCCCCATTGGCGTCGAGGCCAACAGCATTAAAACGAACCTCCACAAGACCCAACCATACTGCCTATGTCATCTGTCGCCGTCCTCTTGAAGGGAAGGCAGCTTTGATCTCAGCACGTTCACGCTCTCCTTGGCGTTTGGGCGCGCTTGAGGAAGTAATCTTCAATACCTTCCGTTGGAACACCCACTGGTACCCGAAACCTTCCCAAGCGGGACGCTGGTCTAAAACTCTCCAGTTTGGGTGTTCACCGGCCCCGGAAGTGACCTGAAGTGGGGAGTCCGGAACTTGCGGTTTCGCCATCGAACCTTTCCCCCCCGCTCGACCAAGTCTCTTCAACGCTTGTTTCGCGACTCTCAACGGTCTGGCGGAAGCTTCGCCAAGCCGCCTGCCAAGCCGTTGCGAGAGCGACCGGAAAGCCACACGACTGGGACAACTCTGTTTGCTATGAAAAGTATCAGAATCATTCCAAAACCATACACCTTCTGGTTAGGGAAATCCACCTATTTCCACTTGAAGAAAAAGCAAGCTCCTGCACTTCACTTCCGACCTCCCAACCACCCGAGGTGGAGGCTGGGCGGTGGCCCTTGCTGCTCTGAAGCAAGGCGGTGGCACACTGAATCTCCTGCGGCCAAGGACGAGCTCGGTCAGGACACGGAAAGACAAGGAATGGTCGAGTTGAGGGGATGCAAACTAATGGCCAACACAACTTGGAAGGTAAACAAGTATTGGTTTCAGAGTCAGAGTAGATGATAGTAGATGGCACAACCCCCAAAATGTCTTTTAGATGGGGTCCATTTAAACCACCTTTTGGCGATTGTGCCATCTACTCCACTACTTCCATGTTCAGGACTCTTCACTTGCGTGATGAGTTTCTGTACTTGTTTCGAGTCCCTGGGGTCGGGGGTGCATGTCGCTTCATGACAGTCGTCGAACAACTACGTCGAACCACAGGTTTGACAGTGGCGTCTCCAGGAATCCCGGGCCTTGGAGTGGCTTCTCCAGGAATCCCGGGCCTTGGAATGTTTTGACCCGAAAATCACCTGGAGAAGCTTTTGGGCAGGACTTACATCCTCCAGATTTGCGCCGAAAGAATTGAAATGCATCTGAGACCATCAGGCTTCCCATGAAAGCTTGTCTCCCCTGCCGCTTAGGATCCTTGGGAAAGCTCGAGCAACAGTAAGCTGCCGTGCGATATCGAGCAGTGCCCCCAGCTGAGGTGAGCTGTTAACCCCATTGTTCCTTTCAAGGTCTGCCCTCAAAGTCACAATAACCCTTGCCCTCCCTTGCCCAACTGTCCTCTGAGTCCATGGCAGCGTCGTCCACGAAGAGCACGGAAGCGGGTGCCTTCAATCGCCAACGAATGGCTGTGAACAGAAATGCTCCAATCTTGACATGTGCATAGCTTGGAAACATAATCCTGCCACGTACCTTGGCTGGAGATTGTCAGCTACCAGGCTAGCAGGGCTGGAGCTACGAAACTAGGGCCCATCTGGGCTTGGTAAGATTCGATCTCACTCCAGTGGAGCCTGGATCTAGACTGCGGACCACGTTAATGAACTCAGGGAGGAATTCTTTATGGACAGCGAAGCTGTTGTTGGCTTTCAAAACGCAATGAATCATGATGCAACATGACTAGTCAATATCGAGGTCTTTCATCGATCCTTCATGTTGACATGAGGCTCCAATTTTGAGACACTGCGGGCCACTTGCTTCGAGCCTTTCTCCACCCGCCATTCGCACGGTTGATCTTTCCTACGTCCCTGCAGGGCGCCTGGATTTCTTTGGCGTCTGCCAAGTAGGCAATAGACATCCATATCACAAAGGACTTCATCGAAAGTGATGCTCCAAAATTATTCCTCAGCGAGGTGAGCCTATTACACCAGAACTCGAACCATTTGAGCTCTTCGTGACTCCCAGCCCAAACCATTCCCATGGCGTCTCCGCCGCAGCACCATTCCATACCATTCCTATTAATTGTTTGTCGTGAACTGGAGCGTCCCTTAATCAACTCAGATCCTTTCCATGACGCTGCTGCCTAACATCAAAAGAATGCAGTGCAAATCAACAATTATTGAGAGTCGAGAGACTGGAATGCATCATGCAGTCTGAGAATGCTTATCGACTTCAAGCGTTTACCATGCCAAGCCAAGCTTCGGTGTCCTAAAACGCGACCGGCGAAAGCCGCATGAACTGCTCCGCAGTGAAGCGAAGCGCAAGAGGGGCGGCACAAGGGGTTCCGTGCTGCCACTGAGCCAAGAGCGACGAAACAAATCCTGGGGAGCCACGGAACTGATGAGTCCTGTATGAATGTTTCTGATCTGCCACCGGACTGTACCAACCAAAAACAAACAGCCACAGCTGCAAGCTGAACACCTAGAAATCACTATGCAGCAGTTACTTGCCCATGCTCAGGTGGTCAATGGCAAAAAACAACATACAATTGAAATGCTTGCTATGTGCATGGTAAAATTGGTAAAATTATAGCTAGCTGTTCAACGGTCTGTACAGTTGATCTGACGAAAGCACACAAGCAGCCCTATCATTCCTATGCTACATCATTAGTCCATATTAGTCCCATCATCCCTCGCCCCACATTAAATACAGCTCCCTGCAAGTAGCATATGTAAAAAAAACAGACTTGTGCGACCTAAGTAAGAATTCATGAGATTTCATAAGCACATAGCTTTTGAGAACTTTGCACACCTATTTCCCCCAGTTCCAGCTCTCGTCCACGGCACGCAGCAGCCAATGCCTCCTCGGCCCGGGTGATCCCTTTCAAGGCCACCTGCACAGCTGGAGCTCCCATAAAAGCACAACATTTCACGAGCCACAAGTGTATCAAGTCTGGAGTCTGGAGAAGGAAGAAACAAAAAGCATACAGGCATACAGGACCACTACCAGGACCATTGTTTTTCTTGAGGGGCGTCCCGTGAAGATCAGGCAATGAAGGGTAGTCCATTGGAGACTTCCTGGATTGTCTTGGTATGTTGCACACAGTTTTCGTGGGCATCTGCGGTCCCCAATCTGGTCACATTACGGTTGACACATGATAGACAAACGCGTGAGACATTCATCTCTAAGCTCCACGTGTCTCTAAGCTTCAAGCCTTCTCCTCGTCTTTGGGTCATTGAACCTGTGGGTCCGATTAATCTGCACGAGGATTTTGTGGAAACGACCGCAAAACCCTTCCTTCCCTATCCCTGTCCGTCTTCCATTTTGCCAGCCGGAGCCCAAAGGATGTATATAACTAAGGTGTACTAAGCACAGTCTGTCGACTTCGAGATTCCAGGCTGTGACCAAATCTCTCCTACACACTTTGCCAAATCCATCCATCCATCCATCCATCCCAAAGCAGGCAATGTCAGGGGCAACGTCTGTTACATCCACACCCTTGGCACGCATGAGACTGGCTCATCCAACCAACCACCAACACACCTCTCGACGCAGTTTGTTGCCTTTCTTTGACCTAGCAGGCAGGCCACTTGACCAATTGAAACGTTGAGCCTCAGTGGGCACCATGCCCGCGCGATGATCTGGAGATGGTCCAGCTCCAGGAGAGGATTTCTTCTCGCTAAACAATTCCAGTGCAAAAATTGAAGGGGGCACCCGAAACACCCAAGCCACTATCTTATAAATCATCCTGAATGCATCTACTATTCATGTACTATCCAGTAGTCAAAATATGGCCTCCCAAGGGGTTGGTTTCTGATCCTATAGGCCCCCGTATTGATTGGTCTTCCTGCAAGAGCAAGCCAAGGAACCCAGCCGCATTCTCCAACCTCGAGTGCTGAGATCTTGGTCCGGACGACGTTGCGGCTCCGTCTGTTTCTTTTCCCCTTCCCCCCCCCCACGCAGCGGTACACCAGGAGGGTGAGTACCGAAGGATTTTGTAACACCTGGAGGACCTCACGTGGGGGAGAAACAAACAGAAGGGCTGAAACGTGCTGACAGGGGGCATTGGCAGGTCACCCAAATGATGGATATCAATGGGGGGTCACTGCAAAGATAAATGCAGCTCCAAAAAACCTGACTTCCGACCAATACAGAATTCCATTGAGTTCCTCTCTTAGGCTCTATGAACCATGGCAGCCCCATGTTGCAACATGTTGCAACTGTGTTTTGGCGTGCAAGTGAAGCTGCTGAGATGTTGCCCAAAGGTTGAGATTGCACTGCACCCTCTCACTCAAATGAAAGGAATGTCGTAGCTCGGCATTTGAGCATACCAACAGCAAGGAAGCTTTCATTGAAAAAGCCGGCACCAGAATGCTGAATTGAGGACATGACAAGGGGTTCTTGTCCTGAAGCTGTGCATGAAGTGCCGCCCACACACACACATTGGTCGTACAGTTTGTACCAAGCAACTGCCCCAAAGCCTCAGTACCTTCTCCATCTTTCCTGCGGCGAGGCCAAGGGCAAACAGCTCCAGCCACACCAAAAAACCCTAAACGAACTGCTTCTGTCCGTGCAAAGAATGCAATGCGGCTCTTTTGTCTAACCCTCTATGCTACGTTGCTTGTTCTAAGCCATGAGTACACTGAGCTTTCATGGCAGTCAATGCAAGCAGTCAATGCTTTCATGGCATCTCAATGCTACTGCAATTGAAAACAACCTGTCATGCAAAATGCAGTATGGGCTGGGTAACAAAGTCTTCCACGACAACTGCACGTCTCAACATTCCAACACCCATCTGCAACCAAGGCTCAGCAATTTCATCAAAGCTTTCCTCAACTGCTGAGTATGGCTGCTACATTTCATCCAAACCCCCGAAAGAATTAATGCTTCAACATTCACTTGTTCTCCCAAGCTTCATCTCGGCACAATGCTTGGGGCTTCCAATGGTTCTATTTTCAGCAGCCAAGATTCAGCTTGAGCCGCTGGCTGTAGACTTGTGCCAAGATCCTGAGGACCCCACGGTGCTCGCGACAGCTGTACAACTCACCTGCTTGACGATGGAGCCCAGTCATGAGATAAGTGGGGTCCCGCAGTGATTGAATCAGGGCGACCAGGGTGCTTGTAGGTTGCACCATCCGCTTCCAAACGCCACTGGGATGCCTTGGCATAGACGGCCTGGCAGAGGCACCACGCGTAGATTGTTGTTATCTTGAATGAAAAACATGTGTGCATGCCGCATGCGGACCACTGGCTTCCCACTTCCTATCGGCCTTTCTTTGCTGAAAACTGAACACCTGGCCCTCATTGACCTCATGCGGGTCGCTGTTGACTTGGGCTTCAGCTCAGCTTCACCAGCTCCCAGCTGCCTCGGCGTCAGCCAGAGCGCCAAGTTTCACCTTGCAACGGCAAACCACAGCGGAGGCGTCAAAGCCACCCGACCTCCAAATGCTCCAAATGTGGAGACCATCTTGATCTACCTGGGGTCTATCTCTTGATCTTCCCTTTTTGGGGTGTGTCTATCTTCCCACGACATGGGTGTAGCGGTGTAGCACAAAATGTGCGACCTACTCCGAAACCCTCTCTTTGTGGAGAATGTGTGCTAATCTACAAGAAACGTGGATGGTTTCCCAATGTGTCCTAAACATGCGACAAAAATCAAGTCCGGTCCTGTCCTGCCAGTTTCTGTGCTCCTTTGACTGGGGACACTCGATGTGCGACATGCGCTCCGCGCCGCGCCGGTTCCGTTTCGTGCTGCGGCCGCACCAATGTTTCGTCATGTCTCGGTGGCTCAGGCCATGGGAGACAAAGGCACCGGTCCAAATGCCACAAAATCCATGAACACGCAATAATGTTTATTAAGTTATTGATAGTTATTGTAGTACATCCTTCTATCACAGTAGCCACGTGCCTTGCATATAATTTCTTCTGAATCTCACCGTTGCCCACCGTTTTGCCGAAGCCACACAGCCCCGGAGGAAGGTGTTCAATGTGCGAAGGTCGGGGGCTCGCTGAGCAGCCTGGCGAAACGGAGGACGGCCCGCATGAGACCAGCCAGGCAACTAGGGTTTTGAGCTTGAGAACCTACAAGAATCTCTATGTATATATATATATACACAAGACTTGGGTTTTGAGCTTTTGATTACTTTTGAGGTCGAAGTGCTTTTGATACAAAGGACCATTGTCAGCCCCTTTTGTCAGAGAACTCGCGGAAGCTCACCCGTCAGCCGCTCCTCCATCTCTTCGAGGAGGCGCCAGGCCGCCGCCAGATCACCGTAGGCCAAGTGACCCTTCAAGAGAGTCGTATACCTCGAGCGACCGGTCGGAGGTGAGACAAAGCGAAGGTCCACGGTCAGTGACGTTGGTCTGTGGGATCCTGACGTATCCTGACGTTCTTGCTGGGGTCTTTTTGGAAGTGAAGGGGCGGCCATGCAGCTGTCGTTTGTTTCGGGCTTTTGCATCGATAGTGAACACTCAGAACACTCATGAACATTTCATATCGGGAAAGGGTTCAACATGGTAAGAGAGTACTCCAGCATATCGGCGTGCGATGCCTTTCGGGCATCGCCCCCTTTGTCGAAAGTGTTGTATTTTGTTGCTTCCTAAGAACCTCCTCTGGACCAATGCAAGCCAATGGCTCCACAACTCCCAGCTGCAGGTTGCTGTCTTGCATTTTCTGAGACACCTCAGGCTGGAATCGCCAAACCCAGGCGTGCCCAGGCCATATCAGGATAGCTACTTGATCCAGCACTATATAAAGTTCAAAAAGCGCTACATGATAAGACTTGTGATAAGTTAAAGACATTTTTTTCGGGCAAAGTCGATGACTCACACGTCTAGTCTACAGACTTCCCAGGGCTCCGGGCTCCCAAAGCGCCAGGCAAATCCCCACAAAGCACGTGCACATTCCTCAGATGTTGGATGAACAAGCATGGGCGAAGGGTTTATTCCCAAGTAAGCTTTGCACAATGACTTACCTAAAGCTAAAACCATCAACTACTCAGCTCTCCACCAGGCTATGCAAATGCTACGAAAGCTGACATAGGTCCGTGGAGTAAATCCGGACTTCACCGTGTGAAAAGGGCCCAACACATTCCAATTTCAAAATTTAACAGTTTAACAGCAAAGCATCAGCAAGGTGGAAAGGATGTGGCGTGTCGCCCGGCCGCCCGTCGCCGTGAAGCGCTCGAAGACAGCGACAGCTTCGGTGAGCTGTTTACCTGAAGGCAGCGATGTCCGGAGAGTGACCCTGAAACCAGGGGGTGGAATGGGGGAATGCTACTAGTAACAAGGGCATCGCTACTAGGAACAAGTGCATTACTACTAGTAACATGAAGCTACCAGTAACACAAAAATAAACAAATAAACTCAAACAAAGAACGACACCCCTCTCTGAACCTTGCTGCAACTGAAGGTTCAAAAGCTGCTCTCATCCCTCTCAAAAGAGTAGTGTCTTGGTCGTGCACCTCCAACCACCAGGAGTTGGGAACACACTGCTTTCTTACTAAGTGAGCGAGATTTAAACATGTTTCCAATCATATAATATAGTGTTGTTGGAAGTTATTTCTCCCAGGACCCTCCGGGCCGCTGACGCGGCCGATTCAGGATCCTCCCATGATAAGAAACGTGCACGTGATACCAGGTTTCCAGGTCTTAACTGATTTTAGGATTTCCAGGTCTTAACATGTCTTAACTGACTTTGAGATGATGGGTGGGTGATAGATTTCCACCACCCAAACACAATCCCACTAGCTGGACCTTCTGCAACCATCATCATTGCTTTTGAGATTCCAGATGTGGGTGTGCATTAAAATAGGGAGACCTCCCAAAGACCAAAACACCCTTGGAACATCCTGAAACGTTCGGAAAATCAACCACTCGACCGTCGACCCAGCCAGGGCCAGGGTGTTTTCATGTGTTTTCCCTATGCAAAACATGTCTCACATCCACACACGGTGTGTGTTTTTCGTTCTGTTTTCCACAAACGTTCCACAAATCCATGGGTCCCAATGCCTGAACCGTGCATTCTGCACCGGTGTTCTACCCCTCCAAGGCACGGGAGCCGCACGCGGCGATCTCACGCGCCTCCGGTGCGGAGGTGTCCGAAATCCGATGGCTCGACATGTATCTGTTTGTGAAACCCGTGTTACATGTGGCGAGGGTATAGTATTATACGGTGGATTGTGTTGGGCTATGGAATTGGACCGGGGTGACCAAGTATTCTTGCTCAGCCTGTTGATTGAAGTAGGGGGTAGAAAAGGGAAGTGTTGCTTTCATTTGGTGACAGGATCTTCATGCACCAGGACCATCCGACCGTGTGGGTGTCCTGGCTGGAGATCCCCAGTTGTCGCGTAGGGTAATGTAGGGTAGTATATTGGACACCCCAACAGGGTGGTCCTGGTAGGTAACTTTCATTTTGTGTCATATGATTTTCTATTTTCTTTCTGATGCTTCTTGTTGAAATCATGTTCTCTGAACATCTCTGAACAAGCTGTTGCTTCATTTCAATGAAGTTTCGTACCCCCTATATAAACAACAAAAATCAACCTGCAGCCTTCAACTTCAACAGTCTCCTCTGGAGAATGGTAGCAAAGTAAACCTACCGTGATCAAGCATCTCGTGTGAAGGCTTGGGGAAGCACAACGTGACTGACATAACCACCACCACCACCCACCACCCACCACCCACCACCCACCACCACCCACCACCACCACATCGGAACGAATTCGACGCAAGTGCAGCCCTCGGTGATGGATTAGTTTCTCCCCGGGTCAACGTAACGCCGCTCTCCCGCTAGAAAGGCTACATACATCATGGAACTTTCTATGGGTCATGTCAGAGTCTATGATATAAGCCCCTTAGTGCCTCACTTTCTATTGGAGGTATAAGCCCCTTGAACTCACTACAACTCATTTCCAACTGATCACATCCCCAGCGCGTGGGTCCGGCGCTGGGACTCTCCGCAACTTGGGGTCAAAACTCTCCCACATGCTGCACTCGATGCCAGTCTTGCACATGTTTTGTGACAACATGTTATGTGCCCATAGCCGGCTATACCATCCTCGGTGTTTAAAACAGCATGCGCCATCGGTCCCAGCAACTGCGCGTGCCGCCGCTTCGCCGCCGCGTGCCATGAGGAAGGCAAGCCTGGATGCAGGCCCAAAAAATCACTCAGGTCGACCAGGGGTGCAAGCACGCTAGTAGGGGCTCCTCGCATCGCTACTAGGAGCAAGGACGCTACTAGGGGCTCCTGGCCTTACTACTAGGAACAAGAAGCTATTAGAAACAATAATTAAATAGAATTATATATATATAAATTAATCTAAACAGTTCCACGGTTCAAGAAAAAGGAAGTGGAGTCGAGTCTCAGGATTCCTTCTTTGGATTCTCTTGCTGTAGAGAACTAGCAGTCACACGCAAAATACTAGCATGCTTGCTTCGGGCAGCGGCTGCTCTCATAAACTCAGGATGTCGTCTTCCAGTCGTCTTCTATTTCCAATGTGAGTTCTGAGGCTCAGGTGGCCTGCCAGGGGTTGCTACCAGGAGCTCCACGCCCGCCTGACCACCAAGGGTATGTGAACATCTGTTACGTTCGTAGCTTCTTGTTACTAGTAGTAGTGCCAGGAGCTACCAGTAGCGTCCTTGCTCCTAGTAGTGATGCCCTTTCTTTCTAGTAGCTGCAAAAGGCAGTGAAATCCATCCAATGTCTTTCTGTTGACGGTCTAGGGATTAGTAGGGCGGTGAACAACTCCACCATCGTGGTGCATGAATCATGGCAATGCTGTGAAGCAATTTCTGGCACGCGGTGTCGATGCACAGGCAGGACTGATGTTCAGGACTGCGATGGACTGATGTTCGGAACAGTGCCGTTCAGACCTGTGACCAGCAAATCATGGCGTGGTGAAGTCTTGCATCGTTCAGGTGATCTTGGCTAGGCAAAAAAAGCCTGGGGCAAGCATACCTCGCCAGCCCTCGTCCCAATACAGTACTTGAGGCCGGGGGTTTGTGACGAAAGCTAGCCTGGCTTGGAAACAGGATGTGGCGAGAAGTATCGGAGAGCACATGTTTGATGGAAGGGATCTGGTTTCCGTGCTTTGACTTACAGTCAAATGACCTAGTAGACTGTCCTCTCCAATGCCTTGCTCGACACATTCCTGAACCAAATGGCAGGGGGGGTCTACACGTGAATTATTCACTGGGTAGGCATCCCCCAGACAATGACTTGCTAAGGCAAGAGTAACTCCAGCTGGCTGACGCTAGCTTTCGTGACATGGCCAAAGGTGTGCCCCGCGAAACCCCATCTACTGGTCAAAAGCAGGCCTTGCGCGTGTGTCCCACACTGTCTCACTGGACCGGCCTCTAGCGAAGCTGCCTGAGGTTCCCATGGGGTGCCACCATAGACGCAGCACGCCTTGCTGCAAAACCAGTGCACCATGGGGCGAAACAACCGCCCTCCCCACCCCACAGGCTGGGAGGTCACTGAAATGTTCAATGATTTTGGTTGAGTAGAGAACCTTGTCAATCTGCAACGTGGTTGTTCAACATGGTCGATGAACAACATGGGTTGTCATCTTTTAGTTGTTGTTGAACGCGTTCAACTTCACATGTACATGACATCGTGGATTTGGAGTAGATGGCACAAGGGCCCCCAAGTTCCATGGTTTATTTGGACCCCATCTTTCTAAGACATCTTGGGGTACCATCGTGCCATCTACATCCATCTACTCATCTACCAGTCTAGTTGCAGCTTGCTGCCCCTGTTGACAGCTGCATGGACATCAGTCAGCAACACTCCAGGGTTCTTGGGACACTTCTTCGCCGTGCGGCGCGTTGCCCAGAAGGTGAGAACCGCTCAGCCTGGCACGTTGGCCGCGAGACGGCAGAAGAACCCGAAGATCCAACAGAACCGGGATGCACGCACAAAGAAAAGCGTTCGGAGTGTTTTGAAAGACTACGGCAAACCAAAAAGCATTCAGCCGCGCTCTACTAATGTAAGGCCTCCCCCCTAACCGGCCCTTCTCCCAAAAAGCAACAGAAACAGCCTACATGTGGGGTTCCACCAATTGAGCCTCCCATTCAAAAGGCGCCGCCGCTCCTCGCGGTGAATCTGGGCAGCCAACTCCCGAGTGGGAACCACCTCGAGGTGGACCCAGGGGGGGCGACAAGTCAACCCAGTCCCCCGAGTCTCCAATGTTAGAGTTCAAAGGAGGGTGGATGGTATACTGTCACACCAAGCAAAGCGGAAAAAGACACCGACACCTAAAATGATCACGTTGTTCCACCAGCTTGTGGCATTTTTGGGCCAATCATTTTCAGCTGAGTAGCTACCAAGGCTAAAGGACCACCACCTTCGCCTGGATCCTGCGAACGCTGGGGAGGCTTGTTGGCCGCAGGGTGCTGTTTTGAACTACGGTGCAAGCATCAATCAACACATTTACAGTGTATGTATGTATGTATGTATGTATGTATACATGAATCAATCAAACCCTCAGAATATTGCCTGAATATGAAGACCCTTTTCCAACACAAGCTCCGACCCTCCCCTGCCCAAATACCTTCCAGCACAGGTACCGGCTCAACCACCGCTCATAAGCAGCCTCATCTAGCCAACTCTGAATCTTGTGCATGGCAGGAAGCCTCAAGTGACTTGGCTGAGAACATGCCTCGGCTCCCTTGTTTGTTCATCCTGTTGCGCATTAAGGTATAGAACATGCATAGAGTTTCTGCAACCTACCATGTGACCATGTGCATATGGATCATACATATATACATGGTTTCGGTGCAGCTCAATCTGTACCAGCAATTGTTGTGGCTTGTTTTTGAACAATCGACCTCACACCTGTGGTCTCTGCCTCACGGGTCCAATTCTTCAGTCAGCCCGTCTTGTCTAACTGCTCAAATGTGCCAGTGATTGAAAACAATAAAACAGTTTGCCAACAGTTTACTTGGCAGGCTAAAGCCAAGTAGCATGCTAGCACATATTGCAAACATCACCAGTGAACATCCGCAAATGTCTGGAACACCATCCTGACACTGAAATCCCCCAGCCAGAAAAAAAAAAGAACTAAGCTTGACAGGGACCGACGGTGGCACATGACTTTGTAGAACCTGGACGCTTGACTGACTTCTCGTCTAGTCGGCAACATGGTTCCCTCGTGAATATGTTGAAAACATCATCCAAGAAGCGGACATCCGTCAAATAATGAGGAGAAATGACATGTCAAATATTTACCAAACTCCTTTTATTCCTGTAAACCTTCGAGTTTGGCATCAGCTTGAGCACTGACATACTTTAATGTTGGGGAGACAATTTTTCCAATGGGATCCATAGGCAACTGCTGCCGGCCCCAGCAGTGTTGCAGGCTCTGTATCGACATACACTCCCCCACCCTGTGGGAATGACGAGAACCCAGCTCTCCTAATACCTACGTGAAGTCCTGGTGCCTCCTATAGGTTTCGAGCAGTGCGATGGTCAAGATAGCAGTCCCCTTTCCGGCCAAAAGGCAAGAAGGCTAAAGTCTTCCCACTGCCGGTCCTTAGTTCGATGTCCCGATGGGCCTCAAGAGTGCCATTGCATCAAACCTGGGAATCACAGGGTCCACACCTCTCATAGACTGAGCCCATGAGCTCATCCACAAACCTCCAAATCGGCCTCAAACTTGCTCAGCCAAGCTTGGGTTTGTGGTCAGTTAGATGCAGCCAGTGCTTGCTTGGGGAGCTTCCTCCCAGGTGGCGAGTAAAACCACCCGAGCCAACGCCCTGTAACACAAGGCATCACTGTCGGCCGAGTGACTTGGCGATGCCGATGCAGTCGCGACCCGAGAGGGCCACGGGCCAGCCATAAGCCTCAAGACCGGTGCCAGGCCACTGGTCGTTCGGTACACCGGATGTGGCCCAGAGTTGTCCATGTTAACTTGAGCACATCATATTGTGCCTTTGCTAAATATTGTTCGCCCCAAAATAGGTAGATCAAGAAGGAGTTCTTGATTGATTAGAACACCTAATATATATGTATAGTATATATGTTATATATTATAAATAAATAAATATATATATATATATGTACACACGTCATCTTCTGGCCATGCTGTGACAAATGCCCGATGTCCGACATGAATAATTTCTGAAGGGAGCCTATAATTATCTATGTACGGTGGTGCTGGAACTTGCTCATCAACAAGCATCAACAGCAATTGTGCGGGGTGATATTTTCCTGATGTTTCCTGTATGGGAATGGGCAAATGGAAAAACATCTACAAATATTTACAGTAATGTCAAAGCTTGCAGCCGCTGCCAAAACGAGGTGAATTGCAACTCACATGCCCTTCCCATCTGTTCTGAGCATGGGCGTCGCATGCAAAGAAGTGCCATTCCCCGTGGCAATTAGGGTTCGTGAACTCCAACCCCTCGGAAGAGGTATATACGATACTGCAGTCTCTGATGACCCCGCCAAGCTCTGGTTCGTGGTGGTTCTGTCCCTTGCTTTCCCCAAGCTAGGGGAAACTAAGGCATACTGCAAACCCGAACTATACCGCACTGTTCAGTGTACCAAAACAAAAGCGTCCGTTAGAGTTGCTTTTGCACAATATCGACTTGTGCACCGCACCCTGTCTATATCAGTGACAGTGTATACAATCATCCAACCTCTCCTGGATGGGCATAGGTTTCTGAAAGCCGCAGCTCCGCAAACTCTTTCGGAGGACCTTGCTGAAGGGCAGCTCCTGATGCTTGCGATTTCATGATTCATGGTATGGTGAAATTGCATGGGCAACTTTATCAAGTATCAAGTACCAATGAAACATACCATTAAAAAAAGAATCATAAAAACCTTCACTTTTGTATATAATGTCTGAAGTGTGGCACATGCCGAATAAATATGAACAGGATCCTTCAGCCAAAGGCACGGGAACACAAACCAACCTATCATAACTTCACCGATGAATTCTGTCGTGAACAATGAATGCCACAGCGAAATTCACGGATGATCCCACTAGAGATCACCCAAAACCACCACTCTACACCTTTCCGCCCCTCTCCTTAAAACTTTGCAGCGGCTCCACTTCGCCACCCTGGATGCTGATCCCGCCTTTGCCTCAGTGGATGGCAGGATTTCTGCCGCAATCTTTCGCAACGAAAATGCCACCACAGGGCGGACATGAGTCGACTGTTTGTACCTGCGCTCTCCGAAAATTTAAAGTCAACCTACCAAAAACTTCTTGGCTTGACACAACCCATTGCACCTATTGCCTGCGCAATCTCCCAGTCAAGGTGCTTCTCTGCTGTTGTTCAGACGCTTTTCCTTTTCCTTTACCTTTTGCTTTGCCTCAGCTAGTGCTCGTGCAAGCTGCACTGAAAAACGAGGCTACACTGCTGAGAAAGCAATGTCTTCATCAACCCCACGCCATGGCCAGCTGCGAAACTACAACAAACACTGCATAGAGAACAAACAAATGCATGCAACAAAAACGTCCAATAACATCAGTCTGCATGAAGCAAATGTGCGCTACAAATGTCCAAAGAACCTAAGAACTGCTACAGCAGCGAGACTCCACAAGCTACTAAAAGACTGAAAACGACCGACTCAGGTTTGACCCAGCTCCTGATCTGCAAATGTTGGTCAAGTTGGTCGTCCACTCTGAGCCGCGCACCTTTCCTTGCCAGAGAACGATGCGGCCTCCCTAGAACACCAAATGTAAGAACTACTTGGGCCCAGTGAAGGCAGCTTGATTCCCAAAGGTCTCTCTTTTCAGTTCTCGACTCTTCTACTCCAAAATTAGGAGCATCTTTTCACCAAAAAAGCATCTTGATATCTTAATTGAGAGATGTTCCCTTCTGGTTGATATAAAACACCCGTACTTTTTTTGAGTTGTTCCTCACCTCCCATTGAGAGATTCTCAGCGGAAGGCACATCTCTGATGGTAGCCTTGTACAGCCTTGTATCCAGCGCCAAATCGGGAAGTGAATCAAGGAAGAACCCGCTTAGCTTCATCAATCACCAACAACATCTATTTGGTTCTGACTATTCATTAGCAACATCATCTTACTCTTGCGTGTCCACCCCGACGAGGGCTGCATCTCTTCTGGTCTGGTTGCTCCCGATTTGCCCGCCCGGCCCAATTCCTGAAACATCGTGAGACTATGGGACGCTCTCATCTCGGTGCAGGATTTCTGCAACAGGAGGCACGGCACTCTGATTCGTTAGCTTTGGCCGTGATATTCCGCCCATAACTGAACCGTAAGGATCATCGAAACCGACGGCTTCTCCAACAAATAGAGGCATAGTCCCCACCTAGAACCAGACCGGGGATGACCGGGGTTGCCCTCATGTCGTGTTTGTTTTCTGCAGCCATCAGCCATTGTTAGTGATTGATCATCAAACAAATGAATTCAACATGCTCTAACATGTGTCTGCTGTTTGTGTTCTCAATTTGTCTAGATGTTCATCTTCTATTCGTCTCCACAACTAATTATTCGCCCATCCATCTTTCTTGACAACCCCTCAGCTGGATTCACCGCTGTCAAAGAGCTTTCCAGATCGTGCCGCCACACTGGAAATGACCGGCCCATTGTCCAACCTCGGCTGAAACAGCGACCTCGTCGAAGCCAAAGACCCCGAAGTGTGGCAGCTGGTCATTTTCACGGAGCCAGCTGAACATGTGATAGTGTGTATATATAAAAATAACCTTTCAGCTCAGATTGGAGGAAGTTCTGCACCAGTTTTCAAACCGCAAATCACTGTGACTATTGTCTCCTTCCAACTTTGAGAAGGTAGTGTTCCTGGTGTCCGTATGCATGTATGCATGTGTGTATGTGTATATATATATATTGCATATGTATGTGCTGGTGTCCTTATCGCATGTCCATGGAAGTAGTGACTTGTGATTGAATGTACCAGTTAAAAACACCGCATCCTGAAGCCAATGGTTGTCAAGGGATGCTGATTCGCCACCGTTCAGTGTCCATTTGTGCAAGCCTTCTGCACCAATAAGTCGATGTGACTGAAACCTTCCATACATCGCCCCCATATATAGCCTGGCGAATTTTCGGCTTGGCACCACAAATGCCTCGACGCCTCGACACTTGCATCTCAGCTGAGTGGCGCCTGTAGCTCCTCAGGCACGTCTTGTCCGGCAGAGCGCAGGAGTTGAATCAGTTCGTGGGCATTGCCTGGCGAGCTCGGCACCTGAGCCTTGAAATATGGTCCCGCAACACCCCCTACGTTTCACGGTTCCTCTAAGACCAAGTCCACCTTGTGACATGTGGGAAATGTCTAGGCACTAAGGCTTGCCAAAGTCTCTCCTTGCAGAAGTGGCCCTCAAATCATGTCCTTCACAATCTGAAGCGCACATTATGATCTGTTCTGCAGTTAATGCACAAGCTCAATACCAAAAAAAACAACGAACACAAAATACTTGTGATTCCAACACCCGCACCCAAGCAACAAACCAAACAACGCACCAAGAGCACCCTCCCCAAGTCCCATCAAGTCCCCCCCAAAAAAACAATAAATAAAACATCCAGAGTCTCCACGCCGATGCGTTCTTCGGCTCCACGCCTGCGGAGCGAGTGCCGGAAACATCCTCGGGCGCCGGGAAGAAGGTGACCTGACGATGGAAGCATGCATGCTCCACGCAGAAACGCGCTCGAGTTGCTAGCGGCCAACATCTCAGGTGCTTTCAGTGAAAGGGGCTGATTGGTAGCCCCTGGTTTTTCTATGAGCTGACAGTAGCGACAACTTACTCATCGGTTCCTGACTATCCCAAAGAGGACTAAGACCTTGGTCTAAAGAGATTAGAGAGGAACAAAAAGCTACTAGGGGCTCCTGGCCTTACTACTAGGAGCAAGGACGCTACTAGGGGCTCCTGGCAACGCTAGTAGGAGCAAGAATGCTACTAGTAGCTAGAGAGAGCAAGTCGCCCCCCCCTGAAACCTCGTCCATTGTGAACCGAGCCCAGCACAGGTGGCGTGACTCTGAGCAAGTGGCATGAAAAGAGATAGTGGGAAATGAGAAGCAGGGACCACCGCAAACCAGAACAACGTGCCACAAAAACCTAGCTAGTGTGAAACCGAACGCTTGCGAGCTTGGATCTGAGCCTTCAGGCGCAGTAGCATGCGAACCGTGTCTTCGGGTTTACACGGTGGAACATCAGCACATGAGATTGAGTCGAGGGTGGATATTCCCTTGGCAGTGTAATGTGTCGAGGTAATGTCTGATTCCCCGACCGACCATGCCGCAAGAAACAATTGTGAAGAGAATCAATCACAATTTGACCACACACAAGTTTAGGACGAACTTTGAATCCCGCAAGTCGAACACCAAAAGGGAAAGCGCACAAGGATTCAGCATAGGTGATCATCTGATCACGGGGAAAAAGTGGTTGATTTGAAACATAGTCGCCCCCCCCCCCCTCAAACCACGACCGTACCGACCGCTGCGTGGGATTCCGCCCAGCTGCGGCGTGTCCGCGGCGCCCCGCACGGCCGGTGCGGCCGATCCGGTGGACGTAGTCCTCCATGCCGCCTGGGTCGTAAAAACGTCGATGCCACCGGCAGGTTCGAGGTGTGGTTACTATATGTTTGTGTCATTACTATATATATATATAATTTGTGTATAGAAAATTATAGAAATAGACCCACACAATCCACACATTTATAGACATATATATATATAGAGAGAGAGAGATGCGCCACCTCCCCAACACACGCTATGGTTCAAGCGCAACGCTGCAAATTCCCAGGGGTCAAAAGACTGGATGTTTAAACAGGCAACTTAAATTGAACACTTGTGGGTGTGGCAACAATTCTAACTATAACTAAGAGTTTAGAGGTCCCTGCCCCCCAAGAAAAAAAAACAATGCAGTAAAATGAAGAAGAAGGGTGATCAAAACTGATGAGTTTAAATTGAGCGCCCTACCACCCTTAGATCAAAATAGGACCCTTGTAAAAACATGTCCTTCACATGAACCCAAGCACAATTTGCGGTCTTGTACTACAAAACTTCCGTGCCTTTGCACAAACTTTCAGCACACCAACAGCACCACGAGCCCATTTGTTGGTTGTCAGGAGACTCCAAACTCGAAATATAGAAACCAATGATAGCCAATGTCTTCATGTGTTGTTGTCCTGAGAGGACAGTGCCCGAAAAAAGAAAAACAGTCTTCTAGATTCTAGATCGAACCCCGTGTCCTCCACCGAAAACAACAGTGCCGAACATGAGGTTTACAATGTGCTCTTCCTACAGTATTAGCACATCAGCAAATCTTCTTGTTCATGAATGAAAACCTTGCCTTCAATATGTGATGCTCATTGTTTGTAACAGGCTGTCTCCTTTTTCTTACGGGATTTTATGATGTGCTCTTTTGTCTTCAAAGACCACTTTGCTTAAGCAACATTTGTTGATTGCCACTCATTGGCTCAACTAACATAAAATGGCTCCTCCAGCCCTCCACATCAAACCAATGAACATCAAACTACAAACTTTCCATCTGAAAAACACATCGAACTGCTTATAAGGCTTATAACCAGTATCACCAGAACCTTTAAGACCATAAGCCAATCCAAATTAGTCAACACCGTCAAAGCTTACAAAAAAAAAAAATCGAACGGCTACCACGAGACACATCTACACTAATGAAGCCATGAAACATTTCGAGAGGGTACCAAAATGCCAAGCTTTTCCGGTCCATCTCAAAGTTTAAACGGTTGCTTTTGTTGGTCCCAAACCCAAAACCAAATCAACAAAAACAATCCAAACCAATGAGGGCTTGTACCAACAACAAGGGACGTAACCTTCCAAAAAACTGTCCTAAATGTTCAAACTTTCTGGGGTCCCCTCTCGAGGTCTTTGCAAGCTTCGGATGGCTTTGTTCCAGGGCCCAGGGCCGTTCTGTGCTCTTTCTCTTCGTTGATGCCTTGTTACGAGGTTTTGTAAGCCTTCCTTGGTTTGGGTTGGTGTTTATGGTCGCCTTTAAGGCTTTGGTCAGTGTTCATTTGCTTGTAGAGGTTTGAGTTGGTATTTGCGTCAGGTTGCTTGTAAGCAATTGGATGTGCTTATAAGCAAATACTTTATGATTATGCAAACATATTGTGTAGTGCTCTTTGATTTGTTGCACAGGCATGCTCCAAGACTATAGGTTCATTGTTGAAGCTTTTGAACTTGTTGAACATATTCTGTGACACACTTCCATTCCCCACAAGAATCGGGGGTACCATAATTGTATGTATGATATATATATATATATATGCTTATACACATATTGAACACACATAAATAGTAACTTTTTTGCGGGAGTTCAATGATTTCGGGTGTCCTCAATCTAGCAACCTGCAATAGCCCTGAAAAGCAACTCGATTGGAACAGTTAATGCAGAAAAATCCATGGTAACTTGAAACTTGAGACCTCTATGGGAAGGCAAGTCTCAAAAAAATGATCCCCTGCATCAAATCGAAGCTTATTTATTCACTTTATATATATATATATTAGTGTATTTAAATACAATTCTCTTTGACTAGGAGCCGTTGGGGCATCAAAAAAGGAGTTTGTTTGAGCGGAGATGCTTCCTGGTCTTCTCCACCCAGGGTTCAATGCTTTTCTCCTATCAGGATCTCTGGTGAACCTTCAGCCGGCTATCCCGACGGAGCCCTCTTAGAGGGTCTGAAATTCCTCGAATTGAGGTGTGAAGAGGTGTCCAAACTCCGCCTGTTTGGGGTTCAAATGGCCTGGTTGAAACACGAAACTCCAAAATGACAGTATGTCATACACACCCCTCAATGAATGCAAAATGCCTTCTCACCGGATTGCAAAACTCATGCTTGTCTTTGACCTGTCGAATCCTCCATATGAAAACAAGTAAAGTAATCACAGTGCTTGGTCAACCTTTAGACACATGCCCTCCTAATCTACTTGATTGTTTGACTGCTGGTTTGATGCACCACATACGGTGGGCCATCTTAACAAATTCCTTCACAGTTCATGATCTTTGTTTGACATCCTCCGCGAGCAATGATCAAAGCGGTCCTGCAGGAGGGCCGTGTGCACTCATTTAGACTTGGCACTAAGTTGGAACCATGTAAGCACCCCACAAGAGAAGGCATGGCATCTAAGGCATCTAAGGATTTCCATCCTGGAAGCAATCATTCATTGGGCTTATAGATTAATAGATCCCTTGACATTCTGCCGGGTCCAACGGTTAAGTTTACAAGTCACAACCCAAACAGAACTCAAGCTAATGCCAAAAAACTGAACACAACATGTCTCAAGTGAAATCATTCAAGTCATGTTGGATCATCAAGCCGCCTCTGGAGGGCCGAAGGCTATGCTCTCGCTGCCATGTGTATATATTATATATATAGGAAGCTCTTGCGTGCCCAATGTTTGGCCAAGACTCCCGCCATCGAGTCTGGAAAATCATAACCTCGCGGGAACACTCCGAGGCACACTCCCTATGTGCTGTATGTGTGTGCTTCGGGCATCCTACACCTGCAAATCGCCCAAATCTCAAACACTGAAAAAACAAGGCATCCAAGTCCAAGCTTCAGCAGGTTCCATTCAACTGGAGCATTCCAAAATCCATCTACAGCACTAGACCTGACACTAAACTGATGACAACAAACACCTTGGCAATTGCTTTGTCTCCTTGCTGCTACTGCTACTGCTCCTGCTGCTGCTGCTTCTACTACTACTGCTGCTGCTACTACTACTACTGCTACTACTACTGCTGCTGCTGCTGCTGCTGCTCGTCCTGCCGCTGCTGCTGCTCTTGTTGTTGTTTCAGATGCAAAAGTGAGCAATTGATCAGGCCAAGAAGCACACCACAAGCGTGATGTCTTCCACATCCAAGCCCCTTGCAGCTACATCCTGGGCAGCTTGAGCTGAGGATGTCAGAGGTCTGGCACAGTGCCAAATAAGTCCCTACTGCAGTGGTATGTTAGCTTCATCACTGCTGTCTCGGGCACGCAAGAACAGGTGAGGCAGTTCACATGATCCAACCATCCAGCCAGCCTAGATACTGTAGGGTTTACATATGTTTGCATAGGTCTACTAGGACTTCTGGGTGCTGGGTAACTTCTTCCGTGCATCGGCTGCAAGGTTCCGTGATGCTTTGCTGATGCGAGATGCTCAGTGTGTTATAGCATGGCTCCAAGCTTGTAAGTACGTCAAGTCCATGCAAATGATGCGCGAATCATTGCCATGTGACATGTGTCAAAAAGACATTCGGTCTTCTCCCAAACAACATGTATAATACGTATCTATATACAGTATGTGTGTTCAGTATCGTGTTCAAACATTCATGGCCCAGCTCCTTGGAGCTGCTCCGCCACTCTCTATCGGCTGAATAAATCCATGCCGAGAATCCGTAGCCACCAGAGTTCGAGTGGCTCCAGACGTGAACTCCTCAGGGGGGTCGGTTACTTTACCTATCGTGCCTGCCCGGTAGGTGAGACCAGCTACGAGTAAACAAGTGAACAACATATATTGGATGCTACTCAAGTGCAGGACGGAGCAGCAGCTCCTAGCTTGTCAAGCGTGAATGATCCATAGAGTAGGTCAGTAGGGGGCAAGTTACCAATGCTGCAGCACTGCTCGCAATGGACTATGAGCAATGCAAGCCTGAACAACTTGTCTCTTTGTGAGACATATGGCTGATGGACAACATCCTGCACCACTGGAAGAACAAACCCATGTGTACCCTTGCACTCCCTCTTTAACATTGAGTCATTGAGTTGAGGAAATGTGTGAAGGAACAAAATTGAATGACCAAAATCCTGCATCACACATAACCAACATGAGACAACATTGAGTTGTCTGCACAATTGGAGGACCACATGTGTTGCTGTATTGATGCAGGATTATCGTCCAACAACAGTATGATATGTATATGGCATAGGGCATAGGGTCCAAACTCGAGACATTGTCAAATTCGCACATCCAACCCAGCCCTTGCTTTCCTCGAAAGCAACCTTGTACTCCATCCGCCTCTCGTCAATCTGCTCGCGGACTTGTGAGATAAGACATTAAGGTTTTGTCACTCACCGCTCTGAAAATATCGATATCTCTACAACATTGCATGCATTTTCTGTTGACAACGTTGGTGCGGCGCCACCCCCCCAACAAATTGCACAGTGGAAATCTTGATGCAATTAATGACTAACCATGTATGGTTATGATACGTTTCGGGGACGCTCACGAAGCATTGGCAACCAAGCGTCTTTGAGTGCCTCTGCGCGTTCGTGCTGGGGGAGATTTCCATGAATCTCCCCGCAGGGGACCTCCAACTCCGACGGTCCCCACCATCCGGGATATAAAGGGTGAAGCGGCTGGGGCAGAATGTTTATTGAATTATATTGAATTATTGAATTCATCTCTTCAAGTCAACAAGGGCATTTGGGACGCTCTTGAGGTTGTAGGTTGGAGGCCATCGCTAGGCCGTCGCTTCTAGGTTGGAGGCCATTGGGACACTTTTGAGGAGCCGTACCGGAGCTGGTCACGAGAATCGTTCACATCCGAATTCCTCGCCAGGGGGCCACCCCAGCTCTTCGCAAGTGATCGGCCAAGGAGGCGGCACCTGGAAGCATCAGCACCGGTGGGTCAGGGCCACTTGACGGCCTTTGTGCGGATATGGGTGGCAGTTTGGCTGGTCACATGCAATCCCATAGGTGGCTGCGTCAGGAGTCGGGATGCTGAATGGTTTCCGCTACACATCTTGTGTCGGTGGCTCAAGAGACGGTTCCGAGGCTGTGCGGCCACATCATGAACATTTCATCGGCGCCTTTCTTGGTGTTGACAAAAATCAAGGTCTTCGCCGATGCATGTTCTTGCAGAATGTTCAGTAGGCGAGCTTCTTTCTTGCTCTCTCCTGAGCTGCAACATTGAAGACCAGAGAATACGTCCGCACGTCGTCTCATCCGAAACCTCAACATCTCGGGTCTTCAGGGTGCAAAGTCATGACTTACCCCTTTGGGAAACTGCTACTATCAAACAAGCCAAGCAAATCGAGTCTCTGGGAGAAAAAACAAGCTGGAACTGATGCCAACTGGACATCGTCTATCCATTTTGGAGGCCTCCCAAGATCACATGTTGGGCCATGCTCCCAGAGTCTTCCCTCCCTTTGCACTGACCTTCCGCACCAAATGTCGTACGATCTCAATGATCTGTGTCACGCTGGAGTTCGCGCTGAGCTCATCTTCCCCTGCTTGATCCTGAGCGCAGCCAATGTCAAGGAACCCCACGTGGCTGCTTTCATGCTAAGCATCCATGCTAAGCATTCGTCTTGCCAGTGTTCAATAGACCTTTTGAAGCAAAGGATGGTTGTAAACAAGTCAAATCAACAATCAATGGCACTGGGTTGGGCATTCTCACGCATATTATGTAATGTCGGGTTGGAAGATAAAACATCAATTACAAGGTCCTTAAAACTGAAAGACCTGCACCTTGGTCGGGAAGGGAAAACATCCAGCCCGAAACCCGCTGTGTCATTGGAGGAGTTTTCTGCCGGATGAGGCAGCGAGTAGGTTTTCTACATGCTCTCCACTTGAGTGTCCCAAAAAGAACAACATTCACCATTGAATGACGCACCGTTCCGACGCATTTCAACGGACGATTCGACAACCAAACAAACGAAATGGCAACAATGTGTCCAGGATGAGCTAATTGATTCATGAAACCGAAAACCAAAGAAAGCTCAATTTATAGATACTATAACATAATATATAATTATATAATGAGGTCATCTATGGGCTCCTGTGAAGGACCGCCAGGTGGGCTGCCTACAGCTCCGGTCATCTCCAGGACTTACTTACATTCCAAACACCTCTAGACCAGATTTAGAGCCATGCCACATACAACAAAGGCTACCCCAATTGAACAAAGGCAACAAGAAACACATCACTTATCGTATCTATCAATGTTTGGAAGCTCTGCTTGGTGCCACCTCTGCCGTATAATTACCCTGAAACCATCTGAAACTCCTTCTGTACCCTCGCTGACTGCGTTCTCCTACTAGGTCATTGTCCCCACATCCTCGGCCCTTTATCTCCGCAAAGGCTCAATGGAGATCCGCACAGGCGACCTGAGAGCAACCATCCACTTACACGGCTTTCACTGACTGTGAAAACAAGCAAACACTGCAAACTGCAAGCAAGCTTAACACAAGCGAACTTGTCAACTGGTCCAACCCCTCTCCAAAAAAGTGACCTCCAAAAGGACCCAAAAGCAGTTCCCTTTATCCGTACCTCCGTGCTATTCATTTCCCAAAAACACATTCTGGCTTGCTAGCCAAAAGAAGTCGTGGGAGCTTCACGAATGCCACCCCAGCACATAGGCTGATTGCCCGGATAGCCAGCCCTGAGTAGTGCCCACTGTCTGGTGGATTTCCCTGACCATCTTGGGATGACCTTCTGTAAGTAGAGAATCTAAACATATCGAAACACTGTCATCATGGAAAGGGATCCCCAAGCAAATATGATCAAAAAGTCCCTTCACTTTTCTATTGCCTTACTGCCAATGAGCAAATCAGGACGTGTTTAGTACAGCAAGGAGCACCCCTCTTGGCCGTCTCCCAATCTGGGGCTGCCACTGCCCTAGAATCTCGCCTGGCTAAACGTGCTCCACGTGCCGGTGGAGTTCCAAATGTTTCCAAAACCGGCCCCCCTCCTGCACCCAAACAAAACTATTGGTTCACACTTAAAACATCTTTAAACCCCAAAGCATGTCTACAATGCTCTTTCTCCCTTTGGGGCAAACAACTTGAGAGAGGAGGGGGTGAACGAAAGGTAGCAGGCAATCACAAGTAACCCTGGTAGAAGTCCACGACGGCGTGAACCGGCGCAGGGGGGATTTGATCCAGGGGGGGGG